CTATGCAAAATAAAATAGAAAATACCATGCATAGAGTTGTTAATGGATCATCGGGGCAAACGGTTTGTTTTCGCAGCAACCAAGTCCCTGTTTTTGCTCTGTTATCGCGACAGACCATCTTTTTAAGTATATAAAGATGTGCTTTGTGCTTTGTCACGCGCAACGACAACGGAAAAGTTTGATAAAGACAAAATGATCCTTTATGGAAAATCCCATCAATACTGTAAAATAGACGCCATCGAAGTGTTACATTACGTAACCAACTAACACATATACTGACAGTATTATGCTTATTATGTTCGGTATGTGTAGATTCTCCTGGGTTCAGGAGAACAAAAAAAAATTGGAAACTTCATTTAATGGAGAGAGTTTGTCTAATATCATTTTTTACCAAAGGTGTAGAAACAATTGTGTTCTTTGTCCATGTAAAACAATATTGAAAATAACAGAATAACAAAGTAAAAGCAACAGAAACCCACGACAGGTATATTATAGATAGTATTCTGACATCAAACACAGAAAACTGTTAACAGGCCAACGTGATTGTCTAAAGAAGAACAGGAAAAGGTGGAAAGTTTTTGTGTCACTAGTTTCGCTCGTCACAACCAAGAGTCAGCGAATGAGGTCCCGACAAAATGTCCTTCGCGACAAAAGGCCAATAGCAATACCATTCACAACTCTTGCAACCGTCATGTGTAGTTAGAATAAGCTAGTTTGTCCTCATCACCCAAAGTTAATCACCACTAGAAACCTGCAAGACGAATACGAGAGACAGAACACTGCTAATAACATTTCTTCACCAAGGCATGATGTTTAGGAAATAGACTGTCTGCATCGACAAACCCAAATAAGGGGAAATTTATAAAACATTTCAGAAAAGTATTATTTTCTCTCAATCAATATATACTCAATATGGGCATAATTCATGTAGGTATAGGACAGGCGAAACTAGCGTTTTTACCAGCTGGTTACGACAATGCATATGAAATAAATTGACATAACAAATGGTCAAGACTGATAAGCCTGGTTATAATTTATAGTAATTAACCTTATTTAAATCAATGTGTATGACATTCTCCGATGCAATGTACTTCCCCTCTGAACAACTTTTGTCGGTTTTTGATCAGATCATCACCAGAAAAATCAGGACGCTGTTTATCTCATCTGGGCAAATGTTGTGCAAAAGGTGGTTTGCTTAATCACTGTTTAACGACATCTTATTTTTTAACCTCTTACAATCAGTTCCATATACAAGGTACAAACTCCTTATTTAGTATGCAGTTTTACTCTACTATATCAATATTATTTGCTATCTGGATTTTTTTAACTCAGGTTACGGTTGTGTTTTAAAGATACACAAAAAAATAAAAAAAATATGCGCTTATCGTTGATTTAGCTAATCACCTTTTAAACAACTGGACCTAGTGTGATACAATTACTTCTTAACTACAAGAAGGGCATCAAAAGGATTAAGATATATATACTTACATGCTAATGTGAGCATAGTGCCATTTTCTGACGTCATTTCGAAATAGTAGCGAAGATTTCTCAGCTGACGTTGCATTATCAATGGCATCTGTCGTGGCATTCTAACATTGAATCCGGAAAACATACCCGAACCTGCTCCCATGAAACCTGAATTCATTCCTCCGCCGTTACTGTTGGACATTGTTTGGAAAGGATTAAACTGCCTGTTAGCTGATATTACATACCAGTAACCTTCAAACGCTGATTCATTAAAGTCCCTTTGGACCTCAAATTTATCAATATTACAATTTTGGTTACTCTGACAGTAGGAGAAATAAACCGACAACGACAGACAAAAACATGTGAGAATCAGTGAAGATATATCCATGTCGGCGACTTTTATGTTATTATTACCCCTGCTGTAATCTTATAGAATGACTTCGTTCTTTTCCGTTATTACGTATTATTCCATTACTAGTACCGATACTAAATAAATGGCAGTACTGATGATATTGTTATTAGACACTGTTTTATATTTTTTGTCACTGCTAGTAAGGACCACTGAGTGTCCTCCTGAATATGGTCTGTTCCGTACAGTCCTGTAGTATCGACGTGGTCAAGAGATCGTCTGGTTGTGGCTGTACTGTTTCATGATGATGGTCATCTGACATATTTACATCTATATTAAGATTTAAACGGCATGATCGTGATCGCAGGGCATGTAGCTATGACATTTTAATGGCCAGTACGGATCACGGTAAACTGGTCCATGCCACATTGTTATATAGGCAGACATCTTTTCCCAACATTTCTTATCCTCGCTTTTGTTCACCCCATTTGTTTCCTAAAAACTGTTCCTTTAATGCCCCAATATCTATGCTTCATTAGAAAGAATAAGGTGGTTTTTTTGGAAAAGCTAAGTAAACACAGCAAGAGTTAATTGTAGTATAAAGATTACAAGGATGCTAAGAGTGGAAAATGAAACAAAACGTAGTGAAAATTTCCACCAATTTCACGTGCATGGAAAAAGCGGTCGCTTGGGATATCTGTCTACTCGCTTATAAATACAACACAATAGTCATGTAATAAAGATATTTATGTTGCAATCATGTTTCGATGTCATCTATCACTTTCATCAGACCACACGGACAAGTTCATGCCTACGGCGAAATTTCTGAGAGTAGATCGGAGACGCCACTCACCTCGCTAGAACACATTGACAATATGTTCATTATCCCTTTGTGTGGACGACATCTCGTGCTTGACAAACTATGCAACTCCTATCCAATTCTTCACTTTCACATAAAGCTTTCCTGATCGGTCTTTATTTGTGTAATCTTTCCTTTTTCCTTTTTGCTACTACAGCGTTATTCAACTGATTAAATGACAAATTACTCTGTGCCCATAGTACTCACATTTCTGGTGTTATTTTATATATAATCTAAATATCTTTTCAGTTTATGATTGCTAAGAGTGGTTATAACAGGATATCATACATTACTCCAGATTATATTTTGTTTGTTTTATTTTCTCGATGGACCATTATGTGTCTGAGAGTCATTCTTGCCAACATTTGTTTATTTGTAAAAATAAATATTTTGAATCATTCACGAAAATAAAAAGAATGTAGGAATAAGATTTCCCGTACCACTAACAAACATTGTTGCCACGCATTGGAAACCTGATTTCCCCCGGCATGAATATAGCTTTGGTAAATCATTCCTGAAATGAGACCCATACCCTGCAGGACTTTATGTAAAATAATACAGATAATAAAAACCAAAATATCATCATCGGTGTTCCGAATAACAAATCAGTAGCTGCCCTAGACCGCGATTGCAGTATTTCTGATTCTTCTACAATCACTGCAACAAACTTACCTGGTGAGCGGAAGTGTCATGCCTCATCTGTGTTACATCCAAAGCGAAATTAAGGGGAAGTTACTGTATATACGACAAACCACAGTGCAGTGGGCCATGGTCCTTAACAAGAACAAAATTTAGACTAACAGTAACTGAGACGAGGTATAAGCAAAGAGAAAACAACACCATAAACACTAAAAAGGGAAGATACCTGTAATTCCGCAATCCTTATTTAAACATGACATCCGAAATTATGTTCGCATCAAGTCCAGGAAAGTAGAAAGTAGGCAAATTAGGATTTAGTTCTATGAAAAAGTGAGATATGAAAGTGCGGTAATATAACATTTATAATAAGTCTGTGTGAAATAAATAGCACATTGGTTTTTTCAGAAATTATAATCAAAATCGTTACGGCGTCAACAAGTCGTGTTCAAAAAGAACACGCCTACAAACCGAACGGTTGTTTCAGAAATGTGAGTACTCACTGTATCTGGCTCGTCGATTGGTCGATAGAACGTTTGAGGTCGGTTTCGTCCTTGTAATCAAAAGCAGTGTACAACATTGTATCATTTTCGGAGACTTGTTGTTTGCGCGCTTTGTCAACTTACGATTAAGCATACACGTATATGGAAATGAAAAATTTGCATTGCATGAACATGTTTCAAGCCATATCTTATGACTTGAATGATTTGTTTAATATGTACTTATCCACATTTTCGTGAACTATAATGGTATTTATGATTATAAGAGGACAAAATGAAGAACATTACACATGCTTGAAAGCTGCCCATACCAGCCACATACATATATATCTATATAAATTGATTGCCATATTATACTGTTTCGTTGAGCAAATCCACATGCTATTGCGTACGCAGGGACTTGACACGTTCCTATGACCCAGAATGAAAAAATACCTTTCATTCTGGGTCATAGGAATGTGTCAAGTCCCTGTGGGTGCGTATATGTATTCACAACATATACAACAGAATGAAATTATAAGAATATGCAAAAAATGCATGATTTTTGTTTTGTTTATGCCTGCAGCATATATTTGCCGGTATAAGTATTTCCTGTCTTGATAAAAACTAAACAGTTTCAATTGTAATTGCAATATTTGTTCAATATTCCGGGGAATTATCTCCATGGATACGCTCCATCTAAAGTAACACTGCAGCTGATATTCGTGGGTACACAATGTACTATCGGTACACAGGTTATCTAACGTCACTGTACCCAAATCGGGACACTTTTTAGTTAAATATCAATGTTCTTTATACAGTACTATACTATCAGTTCCAAAAAATGTTTGTTCATTTTACTTAAAAAGATACTATCCACTTTACATTTTTATCACAATTTGATAATTCGCGCGCGTGGTTCTATAAAAAGAACGCGAAATACCATCAGAGTTACGTAGGCCGTTGTACCGGCGCTACTGTACCCTGGAAGGGATACTTCCGATATTTTGGCGAATATTTGGGTATAAACGATCAATTTCGGCAGAAAATATGCATAGTCGAAATATATTAGAGTCAACGAGGGTTCTGATTAAATGACTTTACCAAACTCTCATTAGTTTTGATAAAATAGACTTTTGAAAATGATACCCAAATAAATAGCGTCGCACGGTACGTAAATCAGGAAAGTCTTGTTTTCGTAATTATTCTTACCTTTAAATTGTTCAAGCTTAATACAGTTTAATTGTCATGACAATATTATCAAATAAAACTGTATACATAAAAGTACTTCTTTGCATTGAATGACAGTTTCTTGGGCCGATTGCACACTTACTTTTATTATAAAATAAAATGTTATCGTTTTCGAGCACATCATTGCTATAATAGAATTTACAAATATACTTAAGGATGTACTCCTCTGAGGTTTCAATCACGTTCAAGTCTCGTTTTGATCTGGTGTAATAGGTTTTTGTAATATTTAACAAATTACGATCAAGTTTATTAGCATACACGCACCTGAAAAAGATGTCAAAAAACTAGATGCCTGTTGTTTGTAGAACTTTTTTTACAAGGATTTAAAAGAATTACCAATTCGGCGGCCATTTTGAAAATGTGTATTAATGTGTATTTCTTGCTCTTCAAAAAAGGCCAAAATTTCACCTTTTTTGACACTAGACTGATCACTTAAATTGTCATTGTGTCGCCATTTTTAATTGTAGCAGGTTCAATTTTGCTGTACAACTTTATAATGTTCAATTTGATAAAAATAATATGCAGGAAACTGGAAAAGTATACATTATTTATATTTTTTACGTACTTAGTGTTACTGAAGCACTTTTGATTTTTGACCCCGAAAAAGGTAAAAAATAACACAAATGATAATGGGACAAAAAAAGAAGCACACTGACCCCCATGTTTGTAGATGTTTTAGAAAGAGAAACACATTTTCATTTCATTCATTAAATATTAAAAAAAGTTTAATACCAGAACTTTTTCTATCAAGCGTTTTATCTGCAAAATATTGGTAAAAAATGAGTATTTTTTCATTAAAAAATAGGGGGTAGGGGTAACTAAAATCGGCTTTCTGAGTTAAAAGCATAAGATTAAGTAATTTTACTTCCATAAATTAAAAGAAAATAATATTTTCATCAATTCTACAAACATTCATACATATCTGATAACACACTTGGAAAAAATTGTATGAATTTGTTCTGCAAATGGTCAAAACACGAAAAATCACCTAAAATCACATGTTGTGTTAAATTGGTATCTTTGACCGATCATAGCGCAAAAACGAATACACGGACATATAGTTTATTTTGCATTTCCTGCTATGCCATTAACTCCTTTTTCCAAAAATCCATATAAGAAAAAAAGTTTAATACAGGAAATATTTGACATCCTTAAGCAGGTATGAAAGTTATTTAACTGAATGATATTACTTCTCAGTCGGCGGCCGGTATGGACAGCTTTCAAGCATGTGTAATAATCTTCATTTTGCCCTCTTGTAATCATAAATACCATTATAGTTCACGAAAATGTGGATAAGTACACATGCAAAGAAACATGCAAGTCATGACACATAGTTTGACACATGTACATGCAATGCAAATTTTACATTTCCATATACGTGTATGCGTAACTGTAAGCTGACAATCCAAAAAACATACAATGTTGTACACTGCTTTTCATTACAAGGACAACACCGACCTCAAACGTTCTATCGACCTATCGACGAGCCAGATGCAGTGAGTGACACGCTGAAACAACCGTTCGGTTTGTAGGCGTGTTCTTTTTGAACACGACTTGTTGACGCCATAACGACTTCGATTGTAAGGGCTCATATTTAATTAATTGAAAATACACACAAACATTTTCTTTAAAATGTGTCAGTTATGCGTTAAACTGATAAATGAATTACGAACTATTTGAAATAGGATTTCGGGTTTTTTTCGGTTAAAAAAAGAGAAAGCGCTGTTATGTTATTTATTATAGAAGAAATCTAAACGTTCAAGGATAAATTATAATCCCGTACGGATATAACTGTCTGTAAACATCAGTAAACATTAGGTAACTATCGTTATCTAAAAGCTTTCTCCTTTTTGCTGTTACAGGTAAGTATTTGTAAACTAAGTCCGATACCAATTGTAAACGATTTAAGATACATCTGTAGTTTCCCAATGTTTGGTACTGTCTAAAAACGAACATTTCTCTCAGTAAGTTTTTGCTCCCTGTCATGATTCGATGGGTTTCATATTATTACAAAGGCGGGATATTATTCCTGACATCAACCGAATTGAAAACATTTGGATCATACGGAAAGAAATAATAAAAGCAAGTTGACAAAATATCTGGGTCTTTGGAATGTGTTCTTATTAGATTGATCATTCTGCAAATAATTTAACACAGTTCTATGTGTTATAAAACTAAACAATGCTATACCAAATATTAGTCTAGGAATGGTAAAAAAAATACCTGGTATTAAGGAAATCCCATACGAATCGAACGGTTCAATATTTCTGTTACTCTGTTATATTTTTTAAACGAAACAAAGTGTAATTCTATTTCCAATCAATTTTTAAATTTAAAATAGTATTTTTTCAATTTAATATTTCAACAAAAATAACTATACAGCAGTATATTCTAACCTATTAAAAGATACCATCGTAGCAGCATGTTTTATTTATTTACACTCACATTAACTCAAGTTTTTCATCTTTGACAATCTTGACTACCATGTCGAGTGGAAGTGACCCCGTCTCCCATTTTGACGTACAGATACATCGTCTCCCAATTTTTATTTTCACGCCGTGTTTACACGAACAACCACAAAATATGTTTACCTCAGTAGATTTGTTTAAGATTTTCGGTATTAATTCACTTGGCCTCACGTATTCAAGATGACTTTTTTTACGATAGTGAGCTTTCGGTTACAAGTTAACCGAAGGGATATGTAATTACAACAACATATTTCATAGAAGTAACTAATATCTTTTTGTTTATGTATTTTTATTGCATTATTATTTCATGGTTTCTATGTATCTCTGTCACATGTTGTGATATATAAATGTTCATGTTTCTGTCCTAATAAAAGGGCAGATCGCTTTGAAAATTTATCAGATTTTTTTGTCTGCACTTTCGTTATTGCTTCTTTGCCTAATATAAAATATCCAAATTTACATATAATACATGTATATTGAGTTTTGTGTCAACTTGTATACTTTTTGATCATTAGTATGTGTGATAAAAAAAAGAATCAAAAATATCTGTGTATTTAAAAATAACTAAATGTAAAATTAAGTTTTAACTTGTACTAGTATACCGCAACATATACATAATATCCAGATATGTATATATTACATATACGTATTGTTTTTGTGTCAAATTGAATACCGTTATGCTTTGATAATTCACTGTTAAAATGTGAAAATTATAACTTACCTCTTACACCTACCTAATTTTAAAGCCAAAGGTGAGCATTGTTTCCAGACACACACTTGTTAGACAGTCAATCAGGAAAATAATTCCACTCTACAAACCTAAAGAATATTATCTTACAAACGAAAAAGTAATAATGTAAAAAAACTATAGTAGATTTTAATTATGACTCCAGGGTGAAAACTCTAAATTTATCATTTATGATTATATAAACGTGTTCTGAACAACACTGGCATAACTTGAAATTCCTGTCAGTTCTTGCAGCAAAATAGAGAAGTAAACTGTTGTGCTTTATACTTGACAGTACTCGTTATTTATATTATCGGCAGTAATATAAATCTCTTACAAACGATAACATTAACGCGCAGATTAACCTCTTGTATTCACTAACACAAATCATGTCTGTGTGCTCCTTCCCCTTAAAAACTAAAACAAGTTATTTTCAGTATTTTTTTTATTTATATATACATGTATTACCGATAAATGTATTCGTAGAAATTCTGTTTACATATTTCCTAGTAAAGGAAATAAAGAAAATTATTTGCATTAAAGATGATTCATTAAACGTTCATAATTCTTTATGAAATTGAAGTTTCGATAAAGCAACGAACATGAGGTCAATCTGTGCATTCATGTAATTGTTCGTGTTAGAAATAAAAATAATCACAAATACGATTTATTAATATGAGTTGATTTTATAGAAATGTCAATTCTTAGAAAAAGGTACCAAATGGAACTTTGATCGTCTTGAAGGAAAACGAACAAGGAAATAATAGTGTTGTAGTTGTTATAAAAACTTGACTGTAACTTGTCATGTAAAACATAAATGTGCGCGTCTATCAGGTCCGGTTGTAAACAATGATCAATTATTACGTCGGGTTCCCTGGCTTATAAATACGCCAAATCTTGTATGCATTGTCAGTGTTATCCACACAAAGCTCCACAATAGTCGAAGATGAACAACAAACTTGTACTGACGATTCTGCTGGTGACTGTAGGTCTGATGTGCCTAGGCATCGCCCCGGTAACCGGTGAGTAGTGGCAATGTTTGTAACTACTCCAGTACAAATTAAGCGTGGCATTATCTTAACCGCACTTAATTAATATTGTTCTCAATATATATCTTATGGTGTATATGGTGTATTTGTTAGTGTTATGTCTGATAGGAATGAACTAATATTATGTAATGGTACACTGTATCATATGGTTTTCAGAGAAGACGAGAAATTGTCAGTCAGATTGCTGAAGGATGTATTCCTCGAAGAAGTTAATTGATAAAAAGGGTATTCTTTTCTTTATTATAGTAAGAAAGTTTCTTTAACTTAAGCATGTTTTTTAAAAGCATTTTTTTCACAACTATATGAACGATTGATTCAGAAAATCTTGCTTTTTAATTTTTCTTATCATTCAATGGGTCAAAGAAAACGTGTTTCTCCTGGTTCAGTGTGTTTCTGTTTTGCCTTGTTTTATGTGAGCTTTTTTTCTTCTTGCGAAGGATAAAAAAATCAAAAAGAACTTCAGTTAAACATAACACGTAATAAAATACCAATATTGTAAACTTTTCCACAAGCAAACAACTTGTTAAACCTTCAGAGATAAATTTAATATTAGAAGTGAAATTTTAACATTGCAGAGGGTGAAACAAAACACACACACACAATTTTTGGGACACTCAAATGGCTGCCAAATTGGCCGATTTGTATATACTTGTAAACAAAAATCTTCAAGCAAGATGCATCTATTATTTTGACAAACTGTTTACATGGGTCTTTGCTTTTAAACTTGATCATAATAGCTTAATTTTATAACAGTTAAACCTCAGAAGAGCACATTCGTAACATGACACCACTTGCAGTTTAGGATTTAAGAACATTATAACTATTGATTCGTAAGAGTGGTGATTAATTTCGGGACCCCCGAAAGAGTTGGAGATTTGTTTTTTGCGCTCTTCACATGAGGACGGAAAAACAATGAACACTATAACAACATTCGGGATCTTTATTGTTTCCTATCCCGCACAATTTTGTTCGCTTTCTTATTCATTACTTGGCTATATATCGCTTTTTGTAAAAACAAGTTGTCCTTAGCAAAGAAGAACATGGGGTTTTGTCCCTGTGAGTAAGGACTGGTGTCATCCCATTGTCAGTATAATATGACCGGTTAGAAGGTCAAAGTTTATTACGGTTAATTGGCATTTTGAAGTGACCTTTAAATGGCCCCAATATCTGTTAACATCGTCATCATATTAACTTTGGATGCTGCGTAGAGCAATGAAAACAAAACAATAAAGAGAAAAATAAACAAGCAGCTTAACATCTACTGTTATGTTAAATTTGTTCTGAAAAGGTTCTCTCTGAAAATCTACAACTACTGCTATGCGTATTTTACTGAGGCCGCTGATTGTTCAAATCTTAGATAACGTACGATATCACTGAAATTTAGTACGGATGTTATTATGTCACTGAAAACTTAACCGCGGAAAAGATGGCTGGAAATACTCGCTTCTGATTAGTTTAAAATTTAGGTATTGCTCTATTCTGATCTACTTTGTCACGTTGATTTATTTACGCTCCAGAATTAAGCGTGACATCAGTTTTAAGATTAGACGAGATGATCGCATTATACTCGCTTCAGATGGGTTGAAATTTATTAACAGTCCGACTCTGATCAATTTTGGCACTTAAGTGTATTATGGTACTGCGAACTATATCATGACTTCTTTTCTTAATTCTGATTTGTCAAAATATAGATTTTATCCGTTTTCGCTGAAATATGTGTATTGTGGCATTGCGACCACTCTTTGATGCATAACTTGGGACCATGGGGGCATTCTGGTGTAATTCTGTAATTGTCCGAATTATAATGAAAACTTGCTACAACTGTTTCTCTATTGGGTAAATGTTCCAAATGTCATAGTATGAATTATTAATGCAGATGGCATACTGCCTCCAACTCACTTGTAAACATTAAACACGTCCTTAAATGACCATAGCTGAACTTTGAACTTTTACCAAAGCAGTTGTATTTTTTCCTTGTAGGTCTAAGGAGAAATTGCTGGTGTCGTCGGAGTTGTTATCCGGGTGAACGAAACACTTATCGGAGGTGCAGTATACCTGGATCATATGGCTGGGGCTCCCGAGGCACCGAGTGTTGTCGAGGTGGCTTTTTTTACGGCCGTTAGGAAAACCTAGATTGCGATTTGCACTGAAAGGTATATTGTGTTCTAAATATATTCTATTGATGACAACAGATATGCGCAAAAATGAATATAAAGGCGCTGACATTAAAAGGGACATTATATCACTCATGATATTCATAGAATTGCTTTGTACATTACTCATTGGATTATAAACATTGGCTATAAAACGCATTATTTATTTGACATGAAGACATCGTTGTGCATTGACATTTACAAATGTGCAAAAGAAATTAACATTTCCATGGAAATATATGAGTTCCATATGTATTCAAGCAAGGTTTTAAAAAACGATCATAATGAATTTCGTATTAGATATGACGATGGGTAACTGATGTGGATAAGGCCAACAACAACAAATGCACCCAGAACGGGTGAAACTAACGTCACCTCCTGTCTTTTCTTTTGTCTTCTACAGGATCAGATTAAAACAAGCAACGTCAGCGTAAATCTGGATATGTGTGTTACCAGCAGCCATAACATTTTGTCTTTTCATTAAATGATTTAAAGGACAACAATTGCTTTTGTTCTCATTAAAACAAATTGTGTTTTGAAGGGAATGCATTATAAACGAGGAAATAAGTTTGATTAAAATCTTATGAAACACTCCTTTTTATAATAGAAAAGTGGCTTATTGACAAACAAGGAACGCGATGTTATGTTTGACAAGTGCATGAGATAGCTCATTTACTTGATGATGTATAATATATATATATATATATATTTACACGTTATATCAAACGCTTTGGTATATGTGTCCGATGGATTGCCACCTTGCTGTGGTCGTCATACGAAAACCCGTGATTATAAAGGTTCCCCCAATAGTCGGCACAAGTGCTAGTTAGATACTACCTCAATTCTTGCTTTGCGGAAGTAACACTGATTGTATTTTTTCAGATTGACATGGTTGGTATCATCAATATAACAGATGCCAATTACCTTTCCAATACGCCTGGTCTGATTCTCCTTGTGCGTATTCAATGGTATTCTTTATCGTGACCGTAAATGACCTTGGCAGTTAGACATTAAACAAGATATAACCAAACCAAATATTTGGTCATAAATTGTGCTAGTTAAATCTGTTTCGAGATCAAATTACTTTTTTGATAACTTAGCACTGCATTCGTTTCTGTTCTTCTCTAGTATGTGTCCTTAGTAGGAACACGTTCCTGCTTACTGAACGTGTACATCATAGTTGATTCGATTCGCTATTCCTGATTCTGTTTCAAATATCAAAATCCCCAGTTAGATGTACCCTGTTGACAATTAATCTATAACGCAGCTTTTATACCAATCGAAAGCGAGACGTAATCCTTTGATACTTTTTTATGTTTATATGCGTGAAAATTACCTTAATACAAAAACATATATCCAGTGTTCATGCAGCTATAATGACATCACAAAGTTATCCAGTATTTATGTATCCATAACAACCTTACAAAGAAATTTAGGATTTATGTAACCATAGTGACCTTACAAAATTATGCTGTATTTATATAACCATAACAATCTTACAAAGAAATTCAGTATTCATATGTACCTATAACCACATCACAAAATTACGTGACGTGACGGCATAATAAAACACAATCAACTGATTGAGGCGTCATTAAGGTGCAGATCACTTAGTGCAGCCATGTGAGATAAATATAATCTCTAACACGAGGATTTGCCATGAAAACCGTAGGAACTTAAGAATCTTTCCCCGAGGGTTGATATTTCCAGTATCATCTCAAGGGGGTGAATGATTATTTTTCTCTCGCTGTGTTAATCAATCGTGTATCATCAACAGAATGTACTGTTAACTTTACAGGCTAAATGCATTGTTGAAATGACGTCATTTTATTGTTTACGTGACGTCATACAATAGTTATGAATAGCGGAATCCCCCATCTCCATCCTAGGGTGAAACAAGGATGCACCTTTCCCGGGTAAGAAAAACACGTATCCAAAATTGG